TTCAAGAGAGTGCCTTTCCAATTTTCCAAAATTCTTTTTCTCAAACCTGCAGGCATGAACTGGTTGCTTTCAGAGTGAATTTGTGACAACTGTCCGTTTATCACTCTAATTGCAAAGATCTATCCTCATTTTAAACAGGTGTTGTAGTGTGCTTGACTGCTTCAGAGTTTCTCAGAAGCCACAATGTTCATTGCTGTCACAGGTAATCACAAGAGAGGCAACTTCACAAGAACTGATTGGGCGTTTGCAATTGTTTGACTGGATAAGGCAAAATTAACCACTTGGCGATGACACTATTACCAATTAACCCTGCCCTGTGCAATACTGCATGAAATTAACACATTCAGCTGCTGGAAGACATTATTTTCCAAGTCCCAAACACTGGAAATCCTTTCATACAGCTCTCCATGTTGACACTCTCTCTTCCTTTAAGATCCTCCATTAAAACTAAATCTAATTAAAACTTCAATCACTAGTCCTAATATTGTTACAACCTCTGCAGGGTAGTCATAAACCAGGGTAACGAAATATATTCAATGACATTCAGATTCAGAAATCATCAACAAAATTCCACTCCTTTGCAGCCTTTATTTTGACATAAGTGAAAATCAGTGCAGATTACACATGAATTAAGAGGCTAATGATCCTTCAAATAAGAAGATAAATTTCACTTTAAATAAAGAAAAGATACTTTTTTTACAACCACAAAAATTCCTCCTTCAGCATTTATGACTTACACAACTGCACAATTCCACAATCTTCTCTCTTTCATGCTGGGTGGATCAGGCTCAAAACTAGGGAGCATATTTTTTAAAGTGAGAGCAGAAAGATTTAAAAGGGACCTGAGGGGCAACCTTTTCACACAGAGGCTGGTTCGTATGTGGAATGAACTGCCAGAGGAAGTGGTAGATATAGTTACAGTTCCAACATTTAAAAGACATTTGGGGAGGTCCATGAATAGGAAAGGCTTAGAGGGAGTCAACACAGTGCAGAGCTGAAGGAACGCAGCATCTGAGGAGCAGGAAAGTCAATGTTTCGGGTTGGGACCCTTCTTCAGGACTGGGAAGGGGGAAGGGAGCTGGGAAATAAATTGGGGGGGGGGGGGGGGGGAAGGGGGGGGGGGATGGCGATAGGTGGATGCAGGTAGGGTATAGTGGGGATTGGTCAATGGGAAGGGTGGGTGGATAGGTGGGAAAGAAGATGGACAGGTTGTGTCAGGTCAAGGAGGCGGGGATGAGAGCAAGGGTTGGACATGGGATGAGGCTGGGGGTGGGGAGATTTTGAAACTGGTAAAGTCCACATCGAGACCATTGGGTTGTAGGCTCCCAAGGTGGAATATGAGGTGCTGTTCCTCCAGTTTCCGAGTGGCATCGTTGTGACACCGGAGGAGGCCCAGGATGGACATGTCACCCAGGGAGTGAGAGGGGGTGTTAAAATGGTTGGCGACTGGAAGGTGTTGTTGATTATAGCGTACAGAGCGCAGATGCTCTGTAAACGCTCTGTAAAAACAAGCAAGTGGGACTAGTTTAATTTGGGAAACCTGGTCAGCATGGCCAAGCTGGACTAAAGAGTCTGTTTCCATGTTGAATGATTCTTTGACTTCCAAAAAGCATTTGACACAAAATCTCATCTAAGAGACTGTTAACTAAGGTAGAAGCCTATGAAATTGAGGCAGATTGCTGAAATAGCTGGGAAATTGGCAGGGGTAATGGGGAGCTACTTAAATTGACAGGACATAACCAGTGGTGTCCCAGTGAGATATGTGTGAGGGCCTCAGTTATTCACATTACAGGGGATCCCTGATTTCGAACATCTCACTGACAAAAGCTGATGCTTACAAAAGTGATCCCATACAGGGATGTAATTTTAAAGATCCAAGATATGAGCATTTTCTGCATTTACTGGCTACTTTATATTGACCTGCATTGTGTTCCGACTTTGTTACAAATGGACTTGCAAACAGACTCATTTACAGCCTGGGGACTGCTTGTATTTATTCATGACTTGTTAAGAGTATAGAAAGTCATTTCATTAAATTTGCTGATGACTGAAAGTCAGGCATAATTGTTGACAGTGTAGATGTTTGCATGAAATTACAAAGGGATGTTGCTTGACTGGTGAATGGGCAAAACTGTGGCAAGTGGAGTTCAATGTAATTAAGTGTGAGGTTATCCATTTTAGATAGAAACAAAAGGACAGATCAGGGTTCTTTCTAGATGGTATGAAGTTCAGTACAGTGGATGTCAAAAGAGACTTGGGGGTTGAGGTGCAAAGATCTTTAAGTTCCAGCCCCCGCAACTCTCTCCCTACATTTACCATGGCAAATGTACCTAACCTGTGCAACTTTAGACTGTGAGGAAACTGGTGAAGCCCACACAGACTCACAGAGAATGTGCAAACTCCACACAGAGTCACCCAAGGCTGGACTTGAATCTAAGTCCCGTGCTAACCACTGAGCCACTATGCCACTCTCAGGAGAGTTCATGGAATGCTGGCCTTTATACCCAGAGAGCTGGAGTATAAGAGTGCAGACATTATGCTGCAGCCACACTAAATCCTGGTTAGACCCACTTGGAGTACTATGAGCAGATCTGGGCATCACAACTTAGGAAAGATGCATTGGCCTTGGAGGGAGCATAACATAGAATTACAACAATGATACCTGGACTTTGGGGGTGAGTTATACTTCTCAGATGGTGTACGTGCGACTTATGAGGACAGATTGTAGAAACTAGGCCTATTTTCTCTAGAATGTGGAAGGTTCAGGGATGATCTGATCAAAGTCTTCAGATTATTAGAAAAAGACAGGGTAAATGAAGATAAACTTTTATGATGGTTGGGGATTCTCAAACTAGGGGCACAGTCTGAGAATTTGGGTCAGACTATTCAGGAGAGATGTTAGGAAGCACACGCAAAGGGTGGTCGAGGTTTGGAATTCTCTTCCACAAACGGCAGTTGATGCTGGATCAGTTAATACTAAATCCAAGATAGATTTATTTTGTTTCGCAAAGGCATTTAAGGATGTGGGCCAAAGGCAAATATGGTGTTCAACCACAGATCAACCAAGATCCCAATGAATGACAGAGCAGGCTGAAGGGACTGAATGGCCTTTCCTGTTCCTATGCGCTGAAGCTTAAGCTCCTCCATCACTGATGCAATATGATTGCAGTCTGCACTGGAGCAACTTACTCAGATTTCAGCCATATCACTGCCTGGACCAGAAACAGCAGCAAGTTTATGGAACACAAATGCCTGTTCTCCACCCCAATGCTACCAGCACCTTCCAAACTGTTGTCTGCGTCCCCTCTGGAAGGATAAAGACAATAGCTGCATGGGAGCACCACCACCCAACAAAGCCCCACACCATCCTGACTTGGAACTATATCACTGTTCCTTCAGTGTCATTGGCTCAATATCCTGGAATTCACTTTGTCACAGCACTCTAGGTGTCTGTGCACCTCAGGGACTGCAGCAACTCAAGGCAGCAGCTCATCATTGCTGTCAAGGATGGGCAACAGCTACATCCTTATATCTTGAGATTTCCTTTTAAAAAGCACCTTACGTGCTCCGTGCAAATTAAATGCGCCCACTTCTGCATTTGTAATGGAGTCACACAGCATGGAAACAGATTCCTTGGTCCAACTTGTCCATGTTGACCAGGTTTCCCAAACTAAACTAGTCCTATTTGACTGCATTTGGCCCCATATCCCTCTAAACCTTTCCAATTCATGTACCTGTCCAAATGTCTTTTCAATGTTGTAATTGTACTTGCATCTACCACTTCATCTGGCAACTCGTTCCATGCATATCAAATGTAACATACTCCATACGATATTGAGTCCAGAAGGCTGCAGTGTCCCCAAGCAGAAGATGAGGTGCTGTTCTTGTAGCTTGTGCTGAGCTTCGGTGGAGCAGCGTTGCAAGCCTGAGGTCAGAGATGTTGGCCAGGGAACACAGTGCTGTGTTGAAATGGCAGGCAGTGGGAAGCTCATTCAGAGATAATAAGAACTGCTGAGGCTGGAGTCAGAGATAACAGAGTTAGCACAGTTGGGACGACATGGTGGCTCATGGTTAGCACTGCTCCCTCACAGTGCCAGGGACCTGGGTTCGATTCTGCCCTCGAGCGACTGTCTGTGTGGAGTTTGCACATTCTCCTTGTGCTTGCTCCAGTTTCCTCCAACAGTCCAAAGATGTGCTGGTTCGGTGGATTGGCCAGGTTAAATTGCCCATAGTGGCTAGGGATGTGTAGGCTAGTTGGATTAGCCATGTGGAAATACAGGGCTACAGGAATAGGGTAGGGGGGTGAGTCTGGGTGGGATGCCGTTTGGAGAGTTGGTGTGGACTTGTTGGGCTGAATGGCCTGTTTCCATGCTGTAGGGATTTTATGATACAGTGTGGAGCTGGATGAACACAGCAGGCCAGGCAGCATCAGAGGAGCAGGAAAGCTGACATTTCGGGTCAGGACCCTTCTTCAGATTTCTCACTCTGCACAGCTCACAGCTCCACACTGTTATTTCTTACAACAGGAAGCTCATGGTCTTTTCTGTCGACACAACGTCGGTGTTTTGCAAACTGGTAATTCTCCCAGCCTGATACTTTACCCATTGCGTTGTGCATCCAACTGTTGCTCTCTCTGGGCTCCTGGTCCACCTGTGGTTTATTGCTCCCATCCCACCTCCACCCTCCAGTGTATATCCCGACCCTTTCCTCGCTGCAACCAGTTCCGAAGAAGGGGTCATGCATCTGAAACATTCTGTTTCTCTCCACAGATGCTGCCAGACCTGCTGAGTTTCTCCAGCAGTTTCTGCTTTGATGTTGGATTTTTTTTCCCGTTTACATGCTAAATGCCCTTTTCTTAAAATGCCGACCAGATGCACACGTTGTCTGTTCAGTAAATGCACCCTGAACTGGGTGAACTCATCGGTGCCTCACAACTTTGCAGCAGGGCGCTGGAGCCCACGTGCTGAGAGCTTGGGGAGGTTTGAGGGGGAAAAGAAGGAACGCTGTCACGCAGGCGCGCCGGGGAGAGCCGGCCGCCGGCGCCTGGCGCAGGCGCACGGGCAGCGGAGCCCTGTGTCGGGCCGGGCGCTCGGCGAGCGGGAGAGAGGTAGTGCGCAGGCGCGTCGCCGCGGCCGAGCATGAATGGAGGAAAATGGCGGATCATGTGCAGGTAACAGGGATGGAGCCGCCAGCCGTGTGTGCGGCGGCGAGAGCTCCGGGCTCAGGATGGAAGGATAGGACGGTGTTGGGGGAGGAGAGGGGGCTGAGCTCTGAGCTCTGGGGCAGGCGGGCCCGTGTGCACGGGTTGGAGATGGGAGGCGGGGGAAAGCTGGAGGAGGAATCCGCGCTTGGAGCCGCCGAGGGAGGCGGCTGGAGGTTTGTTTTGAGCAGCGGGCCCGGGGAGGGGGTTGCTAGGGGTAACCGGGCACTGCTGGGCCAGGGATGGCTTCTTCAAACCTCGGCACTGCTGATGTCAATAAACAACAAGCTGCTGCTGCTGCTGCTGCAGGCGCTGGGCCTTGGAGCTGCTCAAGCTACTTCACCTCCAGCCTCCATTCTTTAACTGCAGCAAGAGAGAAACCCGAGCTTTCTAACAGTTTGCATCCATCGTGTTTCATCATAAAATCTCACGGTTTCCATACTGTTGTTGCATTGCCAGGCCTCTGCTGTTTTTTTTTGCATGCCCTGTCTCTTCTTTCTCCCCCACCCTCACCATTTTGCATTCAACCAGAAAGGCTCATTGCACGAGGTTGAACGCGAAATGGATTTTGAAATGCAACATGACTATTCTTTTCGGGGTCGTTGCATACTAACTTCATCCCGTTGCTGCATAAACAGTGCAGACTTGGGAGCTTTTCTTGCATCATGCTGAGCCAGCAGTGTTGCAGTGGGACCTGAGCTCAATTTTACATTATTATTTCTTTCATTTGGAGACAAGTTCTTTCTCTTCTGCATACACACTGTTGATATGTTATTGGATGGTCTGAATTGTCTTAGATCCCTGTGAAGGAAAAGTCTGAGCAGTAAATAAATATCATGTTTCATTAATACTTCAAAGATATTTATGAATTTGTCACCTTGATCTTGTATGAGAAACTTCCTTTGCTTCCAACCAGGCGTTCTAGCTTTGACTTTCCTTTTTCTTTCTTTTTCCCAGCTCTGCTCCATGTTGCGGTTCTCCTTCACTTCCACATTTTCCCTGTCTGTTATTTATTTTACTCGCTGCCTTGAGACATGATGGAAGTGTCTTGACAGAAAATCATTATCATGTCAAGTTGTTCCTCATTTGCAGCTACAATGTCTCCCCTTCTCAGGTTTGGTCTTGTGTTTAAAAAAAATCCACTTCAATCACTTACAAGATAATTCTTGATCTTATGTCTCCTGTTGTTGCCAATCACTCTTCACTGATAATTTGATCTTCTGTTATGCCTTTTTATCTCTGTTAAAGTTCCTTAAGCTCTACGTTGAACATTTGTACCAAAAGAGCTGAAGCATTCATGTTTATATCTGTTTACCCTTGCTTGGAAGATGCTGGCAGTATCCAACTTCTTTGGTCTTTATTTTGATTTGGTGACTATTGGTGAATAGGCTTATTTATCTGTAATGATCCCCTAACAGATGATAACAATTAAAATGTTCCCTTTGAGTATGAAAACTAGTCTGTAGTTTTGCTGTAAACTTTACCTATTCAATTTATTTAGTACACCTTGGTTAGTATAAGTTGAACCAGTCATCCTTTTCACTTTAACCTGTATTTGCTCCTTCTAAAGTTACCAGAATAGTAATCCATTTGCATTGATTCAGCTGCACAATTTCATCCTTTCGCTTGTGTGGAAGTCTCTTGGAAAAGTTTGAGCAGTGAAGTGTAGTTTGGCTTGTTTCTCAATTGTTGTGTTGCATTACTTGCGATGGTATGCACGTTTTGATTTGCCTTGTCATCTGAAGCCAAAGAGATTTGCTGAAACTTGTCATTTTTTTTAAAAAGAAGTCTTTTCTCGTGGTAGATGTGTTTGTGACATGCCTGGTTTCCATTGTCCATGCTGGAAGGATGCTGGAACTTCTTCTTGACCCATTGGAACCATTGTGGTGATGGTACACTTGGAGCTCCAGAGTCACTTTCTGGCAACAGTGAATGACTTGGCATTGGATATCCAATTCCCGATTGGGTACCATTGATGTCTTGATGTTACAGCTGATACTCGTGTTGATGGGCTGAGAGCTGCTTGTTAGTGGCGAGTTCAGTACTGTTGCTCGTGGTTGTATTTTTGTCCCAGCACCACCACAATCTTCCAAGTTTTTCTTCTGTAACTTGTGATTTTTTTTCATTGATGAACCTTACAATTGAATCACTTAAGGAATGATGAAGCACTAGAAATAAATTTATGATATGCAGAGTGATTGCAATGCAGCATTTGCTGCCCAAAGTGCGAGAAACTGTCCAGGAGCCAAGGTGCTCATTGAGTTCAGGTTTGTGGACATTGCACTGCTTTCTTCGTGAGGTCAAGTCTCTCAAGCAGTTAGATAAATAGATTACTTCACATTCTTAATCTTGAGGATTGACAGTACATGACCATTCACTTACGAAAGTGAGGAGCTGGACCCCCCAGTGTTTGTTCGACGTAAAAGTCGGTGCCTGTTTTGGATGTTCAATGTGTGATTGCAGGAAGTGCTCTTGACTATTAAAGACAGCAATGCAGTTTGCAAGATACTGTGTTAGCTCATTAGTTTAGACCCTCCACTCCTCCTGGAAGTGGAGGGTACAACCAAGTACCCAGTTGTAACAGCTGGGCCTCTAGGAGTCTTGATTTTTGTGGGACAGCGGACATTTGCAAGCCCTTCGGTGCTGCAGTAGCTCGGAAGAAGTTGTATTTTCATATTTCAGGATGTCCCTGAGTCCTGTGACAGCCATGTGCTAAGTAACAAAATATAACCACAATAGAAACAACAGACTGTGTGGAATTTGATTTGCAGAGTTCAGAGGCAAGAGGATTAGGGGACAGACCATTGTTTGTTTCTTTCCTCCCACATCCAATGAATTATTGCTGTTGTCTTTCCATTGTGATGAAGGGCAATGGGACAATCAACAGGTATATGACATGCTCCCCAGGAACAGTAGTGAAGTAAATAGTCGCACTATCAGGTTTATTGGTCTGAAGAAGAGTTACAAAAGACTTAATGTTAGCTGTGTTTCCTTCTTCACAGACGCTGCTAGATCTGCTAACTTTCTTCAGCACTTATATTTATTTCAGATTTCCAGCGTCTGCAGTATTTTGCTTGAGTTTTACTGCTGTTTGCGGAGAAATGAATGTTTTTCAGTACTATGAGAGAATTTGGCTACCCTTCATCAGAGTGCATTATGCTCCCTTCTGCCTGAGATGGAAAGATATCTGATTAAAACAAGGGAGTATACAACTTTCATCGTTTCTTGATGGCTGGGCAATGGATAACTCAAATTGATTGCTGCGATTGGAAGATGTTCAGTTTGCTGTTTTGGGGCATATGAGATGATTGGAAGGGTCTCTTTGTCTGAACTGATGGTGCAAATCAAATCTTTGCTTTGAAAAATCAGTGTTCCCATTTTGAACGTGGATGAGGTGTTTTGAATTGAACAGTGATTGAAGCCATCAACAGATTTGTTTGTCTTATGTTAAATGTATTGTTTAACTTGTTCATGAGAAGTGATTGCCTTGGAGAATGTGGTGGTAAGCTACCACCTAATAATGACAGGGTAGCCGTTGTTGCACTGTTAGGAAGGAAGTTGCAGCATTTTGAACCAGTCACAGCAAAGGAACAGTGATTCTCGTTCCATGTCAGTTTGGTGTGTGGCTTGGAGGGGAACTTGGAGAGAGTAGAGTTCTCACCCATCTGCTATCTTTTCCCTTCTTGGTGTTAGAGGTTGCAGATTGAGAGGGTGTTATTGGATGAGTCTTTGAGTTACCGCAGTCCCTCTTGCAAATGCTGTACGCTTGCCAGTGTGTGTCAGTGGTGACCAGAGTGAATGCTGAAAGTTATGGAGGGAGTGGGCTTTGCCTTGGCAAGTGTTAAGCTTTTTACGTGGTTGGGGTTGTAATTGTCCAGGTAAGTGAGGAATAGTCTATCATAGTCCAAACTTGTGCCTTGGATGATGATCAGGCACTGGGGAGACCGGAGGAGAGTTATTCAGTAAAAAAAATTCTATGCTATTGAATATCATGGGGTGATGGTTAGATTTTCTCTGTTTGGAGATGTTCATACACTGGCACTTGTGTAGCATAAACATTACTCTCAAGAATGTTACATCTCAAGTCTTGATTTTGTCAGAGTCTTGCGCACGTGGAAGTCATTCGTTCAGTACTGATGGAGTGGTGAATGGCATTGACTGCTGTGCAACCATCAACGAAAATTCCTCCTTCCAGTCTTCTGATAGAGGGATCTGAAGATGGTTGGGCCAAAGTGAAACATGATATTCTCAGGTTCTCAATCCCCACGTGGTCCAGTGTGAAATATGAATGCTTCTCTTGTATTTTTTTCAATTTTCAGCTTGCAACATTGATTGATCAGAGACGGATATAAGCAATGTAGTGTCTTTAAATGCTGGAAATGCCTGCACCTTTCATCTTAACCATAGAATTAACACAACTATTAACATCTTCAACTTGATGCTAACTCACGACATGCTTAATGGATGTAATCATGTTCGGGGTGTGTATTGATCAGGTGATTGAAGTTCTCAGGGAAATGTTTCAGGTTAACATGCATGTTTGGCATGTCTGGATAAGCCCAATGACCCATTTTTTGTCATGTGCAATTGTTCGGTATTTAAGGTGCAAATGTTGACTTTTCCAGGAAAACGCACAGCAGTACTTGTCGTGGTAATCACTGCCCAGTTTGTAATGTTCCCATGTTCATCACCATTTGTTCCTGTTCTCGAGACCTGGTTCAGCACAGTTCAGATTGATTGGGGTTGGTCAATGGGGTATTGTTTCTTGTGACTTGCCCAAGTTGTACATGTGCAAACTGAACAGCTCTTTCCAAGTGCTGACATGTCCTGACCTCTCGTTCAGGACATGATTCGTAGCCAAGTGTAATTGTTGGAGGGGTGCGGGAGTGAGAATAATAGTCTGCAACTGGATAGGAAACAACGATGACACGTCATTAGAGGCTGGAACCTCTGCCTCTGGTATTTGTTTA